TGTATTGTTATGTGTCCGTCATATATTGTGTCACAGTAGTCAAAGTAAGGTCTTATATACGTCTTGTAAATTTGGTCGAGAATGGGCCTTGGTATGTAACGTGCAATGGAGTAGAGTGGACTGAGTGATTTGTGTACCTTGTTGCATATTGCATTGACGTGTTGGTGGAAGCGTAGGTCCTTAGAAAGTGTCAAGCCTAGGTGAGTATGAGTTTCATGAATGGGTACGTTTGCGCCCTCGAAAGTGAGCTTTGGTGGTGTGTATTGATGTCTGTGTGAAAATGTTTGTTGGATGGTCTTCGTAGCGTTGAATGTAATTGCCCATTCTCGACCATATTTGTGGATTTCGTTGAGGTCTTGTTGTAGTGATAGCTGTACGGCGTCAATGTCTGCTGTCGTGTGCGAGGCGTAGATAGATGTGTCGTCAGCGAAAAAGAGAATGTCATTCTTTATTCGTCTTGAAAGTCCGTCGAGATACATAAGTGCCAGCAAAGGCCCGAGTACGGATCCCTGCGGGCAGCCCGCATTTATTGTTTTAGTGGCCGAGAATGTGCTGTTGATCCGTACTCGGTGTGTCCTGTCACAAAGATATGATTTTAACCAGTCGAAAAGTGAGTCAGTAATTCCGAAGTCGTGCTTACTCTTGTACAACAGTCCGTCATGCCAGATCTTGTCAAAGTATTTAGAAATGTCGAGGTAGATAGCAGTAAAGTCTCGTCCCATGTCCAGTGATTTGTACAAGTTGTGAGTCAGGTATAAAAGCTGTTGTTCTGTACTGTGGCTACGCCGGTACCCACACTGCTTGTCGGTCAAAAGAGAATGATTCAGTAAATGGGAATATATACCCTTGAAGACAATTTTTTCGAAGACTTTAGATAACGATGAAAGTATACTGATGGGACGGTAACAAGTGTAGTCAGAAGGTGATCCCTTGTTTTTGAAAATTGGTTTTATGTTTGCTTCTTTAAATTTCGATGGATAAATTCCCTGACTTAGTGACATGTTAAAAAGTTTGGACAATGGTTCTGCGATGATGAGAGCGGTTAACTTGATAAGTTTTACTGGAATTTCATCGGGGCCCGTTGATTTGTTAGGATCGAGTGAATTTAGTATTTGGAGAACCTCTCTCTCGGATGTCATCAGTTCACCCAGAGTGGGCACCGGCGTTCTGTCTGAGTCATGATTTAGTGGATGTCTGTGTGTGCCGGTTAAGTCGACCGTCGCTTGTCTGGCGAAATGATTGTTTAATAGCGTCGCTTTTTCGAAGTCGTCAGTTAATATGTCTCCGTTATGTCCCTCTAGCGGTGGAATAGTGTAGTCGCGTGTTCGTCCTGTCATTGTGCGTAGTGTTTGGTGGTACTTGCGTGGGTCGTGCTTAAGTGTCAAAAGTTTCTCCACTTGGTGTTGGATGTGTTGTCGCTTCAGCCTTTTGTTCATCGATGTCACTTTGTTTCGTTGATATTTCCATCGGTCCCAGTCGTAGGCAGTCTGAGTTTGTTTGGCTCGTCTGAACAGTCTGTCGCGTTTCCTTATTTGTGTTTTCAGGTCGTTTGTCGTCCATGGCTTTTGAAATTTGTCTCTAACTATCTTTTTTGGAATCGATGCGTCGGCAGCACTTGATAAAGCCCCTATAAACAGTTCGGTTGCTGTGTCTATGTCGTTGTCCAGAATTTGTTCCCAGTCAGTGTCTTGTAAAAGTCTGGTAAGAAGTTGTGAGTCAAGGTTTGCATAATCCCATATCGTTTTATGAGTGAGGTCTGTCGTTTGTCGTGGAAAAGCAGTACATACAGTCGCAAATATTGGGAAATGGTCTAAACGTGAAAACGAAGGTAATATCCCACTATCGATAATAATGTCAGTATTGTCTGTAAATATTAAGTCGCGTAAGTTGCTTTTGTCGTTTGTCATTCGGGTGGGTTGTGTGATAAGTTGGCTGAGTCCTAGCATGCTAGCAGTGTCTTGGAGTCTTAGGTCGAAGGTCGTGATACCACTGTGATTAGTCATGTTGTTGAGGTACACGTTCCCGGCGTTAAAGTCTCCTAAAATGATGGTTACAGTTGGTGAGTGTTTTTGAGCGAGGCTTACGCTTTCCGAAAAACGTTCAATGAAACTTTGTAGTGTAGTGACATTATTATGTAGTGGGCGTGCGGCCAGGAGGCGTCAACACCAGATCACAGGCCTACCGATCAGACGCTGGCATGAGGATTGGGGATCTCAACAGGCACCCTACCGGCAACTAAACCCTAAGCGCATAACCAGGCTTGTGCCGATTCACTCAATTTTCCCGATGCTTCACGGATTCGTTTTCCGTCACCAGGTTAGCTATTGAGCCTGCTTCATTCCGTTTTAATAGTAAGTTCAACCCTTCAGCGAGGAAACGTTGTTTCCAAACAGAAAACATCTCCCCGTGAAACAGGCGGTGGGTCGAACTGACCCAGCACACCGGTCAGTCAGGCCTCATCTCGGTCTCAGTTGCAGGTGGGAGGCGACTGCAGGGGCCAGGCCCACCCCCTCCATCACCCGACCTTGGGGCGTGCGGCCCGGGGGAAGGTATAGATTCCGACCAGAATGTATTGCAGCGGCCACGGACGGCCTGATGGATGGCTCCCGATGACAGAGATCAGCAGACGATACGAAAATGTCGATTTACAATTTTGGAATGGAATAAATGGAAAGACGATCTGTTTGTATCAGTGAACTACCATGCAACAATCTAAGAAGATTTATTGCATGACAACGGAAACACATATTAAGCCGTAAGCAATAGCGTGAAGGAATTCCAAGGCCGACCCATATTCGGAAAAAAACTAGCTGTTAACCGGATCTGCAGCCCAGAATGTTTCGTGTTTAAATGGGCAGACACTGTTACGGGCCTCAGAGTTATGTAAAAACGTCGCGGACATATAAAAACGGACCGGAAAGGATGGAAGGCGAGCGGTGACGTAACCTCCATATGGCCACATTGGCGGCTCCCTGACATCGAAGGTAGAACTAATAACCGGTCAGCAGGGGAGGGGTAGCTTACGTAATCCTGAACAAGTTGAGCAATTACACAAAAGAGGCTTACCACAACGTTGTATACTAGGTATGGCCATTTTGCGAAAAACAATACAATTTACTAACACAATGGAAGCCATCTTACATCAAGCTAAAGAAAAAATAATAATGAAAAGTGATGAATTTCAAATCATGTAGACTATCATATAGACGGTCATATAAACGATCAACAAAGTGGCTGACGACTCATCACGGCGGAATTCACGACCCCGCCCACCGCATTCTGTGACCGTTAGCGGCGCATCCGGCCGGGCCCAGCGGCTCCCACCGGTCTCCGGCCCCTGGCGCCCATCTCAGCACAGTGCGGACTGTAGCGGTGCGCTCCGACGGCCAGAGGTTAATACCGCAGGTCACTGAGCGGTCAACAGAGACTGTGCGGGGACGGCGCCGTCCTCTGAGTGATACCTCTGCCGGCCACGGCAACAGGCAGATAGCGCAGAGCCATCGGTGACCTGACTGGAGGCACAGGGGCGACGCCAGCACGGCCTACCACGTGGACACACCGGTTTCTACAGAACTGAGTGTCGAACCACACACCAGCACTGCCTCTGAGCCGACCATTGTGACCCAGAAGCTGATTCAGCTAAACGCCAATCCTACCCTCTGAACGGAGGCCGCCGACGCCGCCGCGCTCTGCCGCCCTAAACGTTCCAATCCTACCCTCTGAGCGGAGGCCGCCGACGCCGCCGCGCTCTGCCTAAACGTTCCAATCCTACCCTCTGAACGGAGACCACGCTCTGCCTGCCGCAGCGGACGCGGCGCACCGGTAGTACCTCCTCCTCTCACCCTCTCTCTCCTCTGCCGACGCGGCACTCCGCCGCGACGCGTCACCCGGCGCCGGCGCCGGCCGCCGAGAGGTCAAACGCCGCCCGGGTCGCGCGCGCCGCGGCTGTAGGACAGGGTGCCGGCCCGCAGCGGCGGCCCGCGCCCTCACGTCCGCGCCGAGCAGTGACCCCGAGACGGAAGGCCGGACTCTCCGTGCACGCCGGCGCAGGTGTGCACTGTGCACGTGGACCGTGCAAGGGTGCCGATCACGCCTGACCCGCCGCCGGCCAGTATTGCTTTCATCATACCAGTGGCAGGCAAATCACAGCGATCATTCGATCAAGGGTGCAGATCGAAGGCAATGCGTAGATCCTGAAGCCATACAGATATCGCGAAGCCCCGGATAAGACCTCGCTAGCTATCCATCTGTATGAATTGTTTGAAGAAAAGTGAGGATTTTCATGTTCAAATGTTTACAATCAAATATACTGTGTTTGATGACCATCCATAACGAAGAACTGCCCCAGACTACTGATAAGCCCTCCAACTCTCCCATTTCGCCCCGGCTCGTCGACCGTCTTCAGTCTCCGTCCCGTACCATCCCGTGTCGCCACCGCGGCTCGGTGCCGTCGCCATCGAGTCCTGTCACGTGCCGGCCGGTCGGACGGCCGATCCCGCCTCAGATAGGGTAATGTCGGGCGGCCCGACCGGCGGCGACTGTCGCCGGCCGCTGTCTGTGCCATTTCGGTAGCCTCGGTTACCTGAGGCGACCTGAGGCAGCTCATGCGGCGCTGTGCTTATTTCAGATACGATGGAGGATCGCGCTGGGCTGGTCGGCTGCGGTTACTGTCAGACTAAGCTATACTAGTATAGGTTATACCTATACGTCGATCGTCTGGTGCAGATTCATTGGAAGGAGTCTTACCCCTTAGATCGTAAATAGTCCAAGTACATAAATAATAACTGTCTTCTGTCTCATGTCTCGTCCCCATCTCCTTCTAGTTTTTTTTCTTTTGTCCGTTATGCGCATTTAATCTGCACAAAGCAGCATTCGAACAGATTATAATCCACTTCAGATGCATACGCCACATTTCTCTAGAAACCACACAAACACGCCTCATTCAGGTTCAATGCAATTGCAGGCTGTTAGGGTTTGCCACCGTTTCCATGGATACTGACCTTTTTCTTATCCCTCATGGAGCCCCGTCCGCGGACCATGATTTTACAGCCGGTTTCCTGTTCCAGTTGTTTGGCCGTCATGCCGCGGGGGCCCAGAATCCGGCCGACAAAGTTGAACTGAAAAACAGACAGGGAACGTCAGAAAATGAAACAAACTAAAGTGAACGACGATTGAGGAAATTAATCAAATAAAACTGAAATCGAAATAGCGCCACAGGCATCACACAGACAATAAGCCATACACGAGACACACAAAAATACCCGTTTGAATAAAGAAAACATCAGATGAGCATCAACACATGATCGGAACAGCGCCTAAGAAAACTATCCCTGACGAGGCAGTTATAAGGTCGGACAGTGTAACCCGCTATGTTGATACACATGCATATTGGTTGGAGGCCAAGATTTTCATGACATTGTTCTGTCTTGTAAACACTCTTCAATTTTCCTTTGATTGCTAAAATGTTATGCAAGTGGGCACCTTTTTCTAGACTAACGACACATAAATATATTGTACACAGGTGACGTAGACACTAGACAGCAACCACGCTGTGCCCGTGCCACGGCACTCTACGTGGTGCACACAAGCTCATAGACCTATTCAGACGTCGGATCATGGGTTTCCACTGAAACCCGCCTCCGGGGATACCGGAAATCAGACTGAAAGGCATATACGTATGCACACCTCTCAAAAATCATGCCAAATGTTCGGCCTTGAACGTGACGGCTCTGTGTGACATTGTGACGGTGACAGCGGCTCTGAGGACGTGCCGTCACGTCACGTTCTGTCACGGATCAGGGGGTTCGGGGGGGGGGTAGAGGGCGCCCCTGCCGGTCCTTAGCCCCATCGATAGCACAAACCCTCCGCTGGCGAGCTCTTCAGCGCCAGCCAATACGCGGGGCAAATAATAATGGGATATGAGGAGCCAATAATTAGTGGTGGCAAAAGAATGGTAGGCTGGGAGGTATTTTTGAAGACAGCAGATCGTTGAGCACAATGGTGGGAAACCGTCCCACATAGCGGCGGATGTCCTACATAGACACAAGACAACCTGCTAGAGAAACTAGATAAAAACTGCCAGCTGGTAGGGCTAATATTTAATAGTTTGCGAAAAAATGGAAGCCACACAAGCAGTTCACGTTGCAGTAGAAACTTTATCTAAACATTTCTCCATCCCCTGACCCAGAGCTTCCCTGCTCTCGTCTCGCTAGGCGCCCACGCGGACCAGCCAGTCATTCATCATATCGCCTCTGCCTGGGGCCGAGCGCCCGGCGAGCGTCTCTCGACCCGAGTGGCCCGAGTGAAAACCAGATAAACAAACGGTCGATTGGATCGCCACGGTGAAACGCGTCCAAAACGGTGACCACTTTCTCCGGTGGGCCGCCGCGCCCGCCCACCGCCCGCCGCCCACTGTCTACCGTCGCCCGTTGTCCACCGTCTACCGCCCCAGCCCTTCACCTACCGTCCATCGCCGATGAGCCTACCGCTCGCTGTTCACTGTCTACCGCTGCCCACCGCCCCAGCCTACCACCCACCGCCCCCCGCCGTGTCAGTCGCGCGGCCAGTCGCTGTCACACGGGAGAGCTTGATGGCGGGGTGTGCCGGCCATGGGTGCCGAGCCGCTATAGGTCATCACGAGAGGTCATCGTAAGAGCGGCGCCCGCTGACCCACTTCGGTCCGGGTGTGACACGACACCACCACCACGCCGCGAGAGACACCGCAGAGAAGCTGACACAGGCTCTGACACAGGCTGACACAGGTTGACACAGGCTGAGACAGTCTGTCACGGGGTGACAAAAGCGGTGGAGTGTGTGACAAGTCTGATTGGCTAGACGGCCGGCCAAAGGCCTTATCACTGTCAGGACGGGGTGAATAGTGAAGTCAGAGATAGGATGGGTAGGTGGGGACCAGGGCCTCGTTTCATAAAGCGAGTCCGTAACTTACGCCAGTTCTTGGGCTTGTATTCCAAGCGAATGTGAAGCGATAAATTTATTTCCCCTTCTCCCTTCTATCCAAACTATCGTCATCGCTTCACATGCACTTGCAATACAAGACCAAAAACCGGCGTAAGTTACGGACTCGCTTCATGGAACGAGGCCCTGAAGAGCGGCTTGGAACTGGAGGCTACTGCTGCACTGCAGAATTAACCGGCATAGCACGGTCAATCCGCGCAGGATAACCCCGGCCTCCCGGACGGCATCTGAGTCACAACTCACTTGCCCTATGCTTCATAATTGCGAAACCTCTCTACCGGGTCACCGTTCGGTCAAACCCTGCTCTCTGCTCATTACTTCTCTTCCCCTCTCTCACTCCATCCTCTCTCTCCATCTCCCATTCGTGCCGTAAGTCGGCCATCCGCCTCTCGGCAGGGTAGTAACAGTTCAGCGGTGGCGGCCGGCCGGGGAGCCGTGAACCGGGTCGGCGCCCAGCCGGCCGGTACTCGGTACTCGCGGCGTGTGAGTCATTACGCCACTGGCACACACCAGCTGACCTGGTCAGCGGCGCGGGGCGGCTCCCACGACCGGGCGCCCCGGCTACCGGTGACGTCATAGCTTCTCCAGTGACGTCACAAAGGCAGTGAGTGCTGCGGGCGGCGCCAGCGACTGACTGAGGTTCAGCAGAGCGTGTATAAGAATCAGGGCCATCCAGGTCCCAACACGCCCCGGATCAATATGTATTCCAAACGACAACAGGCCGAGCCGTATCAGTGTATCGTAGGGGAGAGTGGGGTAATTTGGCCGCTTTTTTTAGAAAACGATGTAACTAAAAATCGACAACACATTTCTGCATTTTCTCAACGCTGACAGCTGTGGCATACATTTTACTTTCCTGGACAGTAAACTTGAAATGATAGAGTAACTACTTATATTGAAATTGTGGCGCATTACAAAGGTCTGCGAAGCGGCCAAATTGCCCCACTAGCAGGGTTATTTGGCCGGGGGTGTGGGGCAATTTGGCCGGTGTTAGTTTGAGGCCATGATTTTTGTTATAGGCGAGTCAGCTTCACATTCAGCAATGACGCGTGTCCTACGACGCATTTGAAGTATTTTGGAGGTTGCCTCAGCCGTCACAGGGGTCGAAAATAGTCAAAATAGCGGCTCTAGATGCGATGACAGTTTTTTACGAAAAGCTTTTGAAGTAATCAAGCTAGGCCAAAACTAAAAGTACCATCGTAATTCTCTCGTCATTCCGCATCGAAACATGTATGTGTTGACCTCGAGAGGTCAAGGTCAAAGGTTTGCTTCAGGTCACGTTACCTCAGGTCGCTTGACCTCAAGGTTGCGTGAGTTCAAGGTCATCATGTATAGCAATCGATGCGCCTTGACGAGCTGAACACAATGAGACCATTTGCGCGGCTGTATCTTTTTTCTGTAAGTATTTATTACCAAAAAAGCATTAGGTAACATTTGATGACGTCACATGCCCTTACAGCTGTCCAATAGGAAATATGGCATCAAGGTAGTCAAAGTTGGTCATGAATTATGTCCTTTATGGTATAATTGACCATGACAATTCGGCCGTCCCAGCATAGTGACTCTGAGCGCACCGGCCAAGTTGCCCCGCTAGTCCCGGCCAAATAACCCCACATTGCCATTCTGAAAATTTTTGTCTATAAAGTGGTCATGGCTGTACAGAACTAGATGAAATTGCTCTTGGAACCGCTGAACACGCTCAAGAATGGCGCTATAATGTTGAAATTCGTTTACAGCCCAAATACTACATGTTATACAAATTTTTAAACGGAAGTGAAAGTTACCATTTTCTAACGAAATTCACGTTTTATTAATTTTGAATAAAACTAAGAGGGGGAAAGTTTTGACATTTGTTCTCGAGTTAGTTCTGCCGATGACAAATGAATAGAGACTAAAGTTATTTCATTTACTTTTATCAGCTTTCGTACAGGTGGGGGCGGCCAATTTACACCACCGGCCAAATTACCCCACTCTCCCCTACCTGGCGAGTTTTTCTGTCGCCGTGCAGTGGACCGGTGATATTAATGGTGCAGCGGACGACAGTGTCGCAACACTACCAAACCCGGCCTGCAGCTTCTGTTGACCGGCCGTCTCAAGGCCTGCCGGGTATCAGAATCACTCAGTACCGGTCGGGACGGACCCGCTGTATGACTGATGAGGCGGACAGGTGCCGTGGTGAGCCGGCCGCCTCCCGATTTGGAGTGAGAGGCATACACGGAGGGGCAGAAGGCGCACACCGGCCGCCATTGGCCAGCACAGCGCACCGCGCCGCTCGTCCGCGCCGGGAGGTGAATGCGAGAGCAGATCACATGCATAATGCAGCGAATTCGCCGTGTTCGCTGCTGAACAACGACGGGAGTCAGCGTCGAAGACGGTCCGACCCGAGAAGTGTATAAACGACCCGGCCGACCGCTAACAACGGCGCTGTGCACCTGAGCCCACGGCTCCGCGGTCGCGAGAGAGACAGAGCCAGGAGAGGACCAAAAACAGACTAACAGGCTCAGGTCCACAGAAACTGTTTGGAAGAAAACCAGGACTTGTATTTTTCGAATGCCTAAATCGGGCAATCGGGCTGAACAAGCCTATCAATTGTGGGGAAAACAGGTAGGTACGAGTACCTATATTTCGTATGTGGTCAACGACTCAATACAGGTAGGTGCGGTCCTAAGCAAAACAGGTATCTTGAAATGCCAGCCGTCTCGGACCTAGACTAGTTGGCGCGTCGAACTAGTGGTAACCAGAGTTAATGTTCTCCGTCAATAAAACCATGTTTCGTCATTTGTCTTCGAGCTACAATAAATAAATAGAAATGGCGGATGTATATTTTACTGTTTGAACATCAACAACGTGCTGGAATATTCCATGCACCAAAACAGCAGTTCATTCATAATTAGGGGAACAAATGCAGCAACAATATCATCAATCACTTAGAAGAGCATCCTCGTTTCAAGTTGTATTTTGCCTCTCAAGAAAATAAAACCTTTAGCGGTTTCGAGTTTTTCTTACACCGCCCTCAACGCACAGACCTGCGTTCCGCACAAGCCGGCGGCGGCAGGACCCAGCCGACCCAGAGGGCTCCCACACGGGTCACCGAGGTCAGCAGGTCACCGAGTGTGTGGGAGGCGCGTGGGACGAGTCGCCG